ATTAAGGCGAAAGGTCTAAAGCTGTGAACTCCACCAAAAACACGATGTGCAATACGAAAACTGATTTCATAACAAGTCTGTGCTTGATCGCTAAGAAAGAGTGGCACTGTAATATACTAGACACACTTTTGCAACTGTTATAAGTAGTACAATTTCAAATATTGCTTAAATATCCCTTATATAAAAGTTGCTCTGTGAAGACAAATGGAGACTTGTTTTTTACGTAAGTTAAATAATGAATCATCTTACAAACTATTTACAAAACACAATCTATATATTCAACGTTGCTGAGAGGGTGGGAAAAGTGCTTTATTTTCAGACAAACGCTGCCTCCGGGCTACTCCAACGCCTCATAAATTATCTATGGTCTAGCTAATACATGATAGGTATCAGACATTACAAGGGAGCGCTATGTACACACTGGTCATCTGTAAACTAAATGTCCACAGCTCAGTGCTGCATTATATATGCATGTGGAAATAAATTAAAACACAGTTATTCCTGCATCCCAACCTCTATTTATACAAAAATCCTCATAAACGTTATAGGGACCACAAATAGAAAATAAATCCCGCCTTTTTTAAAGTAGGTACTGAACACATTTCCAAAGTCTGAGCAAAACAATGGAGAGATAACTCGTTCAGGATGTCTGTATAATATTTTCAGGCAGTTTCCATTACATTATGGATTGCCTCGGAACACCACAAAGTATTTCAAGTGATATGCGTGATTTTTTTTGTTTAGAGTGTATTGTATAATATCACCTGGAGATGTCTGGGGCTGAGCTCCAAAAATGTATCTCTGCTTCAGCCACCCTCCCCCTGTATAATGTGGTTCATTGGATTGTTATTTGACTCGATTCTATGAACATTATTTCTTCAGCCAAGTTAAACAATAGATTCCCCATTTCCTGCTAAGAGTCACACGATGTGCCTAAACTTAAAAGAACACAAATTAACGGTATTGCTTTCTCATATGGCCAAGATAAGTCTAGAATGTTTTTTTTTATAATAATAATAAACCGTACTTATTAATATCATTATATTCCTCCGTTTTTGCAAGATTATGTAGGCGGGTTATATTTTATAACTGTACAGCATATGCAAACAGATCTTCTTTGGAGCTATAGTTTACACACTTAAAGGCACACAAATATAACGCATCTTTTTGTACAAATTAGCAACACAACAGGGCAGCAAGATGCTCAGTTTATCAGACATCAAATCCACGACATGCCACTGAACTAATTCCACAGCTCAGACAATCCCAATAGCCTCGTGTGGCTCCGTGCCTAAACACTAAATAATTCACGTTGGTATAGCGCGAAAGTGTCTGATAACGTCACATGTGGGCAACAGTCTCCATTGTCTTGTTATTGCATATGTTCTCGCTTGTTGCAATAACACACCCTCGTCTGTATTTCTGGAACTAATCAAATAGCCAGTGGCTAAACCAACAATTGATTCAGGTACATTATCTTGTTCGAGAAAAAAACGACTGCAGACTCATACATGTGTAGAGTCAGGGTTTTGTCACAAACTAGAAGTGTAGATTTATCAATAGACATTCTTAAACTCACGATACATGCATTGAATTGCACGTGTAAAAATTGGTGGATTTTTTTTAGATTTCGTATTGATTTAGGAGGGACTCCAGAGCCCCAACCGCGTAGATATCCTTCTCCCAGCAGTGGTGTAAGAAGTTGCAGGGCCGCGCGTTAAAAAATGTTACCTTTTAAAAGTTGTACAGTTGTTAACGATCCCCGTGGCACCAGTGGCTGCTACATTCACCACAGCGTTAGGCCAAGATGTGATTTTTGCATCGAATCACCACCCTGAACCGCGATAATTCATCAAACTGCCAAGGTGACTCCTTACACCTCCACCCTTAACAGAGGGGTCCTCAATCAGACCCCACTCTCCAGCACTAATGAAGTCTGATGTCAGCGTTGAGCGGTCCTCTGTACAAGTATCTCTATTTTTATCGACCGAGTACGCGGCCAAATTCAAAGGCATCCACGATTGATATTCATTGCTTCAGGGTGCAGAGTGCTCGGAATGCTGAAGCACATCACTCTTTCAATTTGAAAGCGAGACGGGAACTTCAAGTGCACAAGAACCTACTTGTAGAACTCATTATTTATGATTGGAGCTGGGACGATTAGCCGACTTCATGGCCTAAAAATTGCAATAGAACACTTTTTTGTGGTCGATTACCGATAATCATTTTAAACACGGCAATGGCAAGCAAACTTCACGCGACAGATGATGCCAATATCACCAAGCACTACCCCTTGCTTTCAATCTGGCGACAAAGGTGAGAACAGAGGTGAGACTTTCTTTACAGTGATTTCCAAATTTCGATTTAAAGCTTTCGTGACTGCAGGGATTCATCTTCTTGGTTCTTTCGGTAAAGTCACGTAGAAGGGAAATAATAAAATAATAAAAATTAAACATTAAATAATTCTCACGACGTTTCGGCCACAACGCAAGCAGCCGTCCTCAGGTGAAGACCAGGCCTGTCAGGGAGACAGCCTTCTGAATGAAAAAAAAAGTGATTTCCAAGTTATCAGATTTGTTGAGTAATCGAACCGACAATTAATTGGTAGTCATCGATTACTTATATAATCGGATAGCCCAGCTCTAGCTTTGACGCAACAACTGAAAATTAAACTGGTCTTGTGAACAAGCTGTCCCACACTCGAGTTGTCATAACAGCTGCAATAACCGTGATTTGTATTCCTCGTTTTTTGCATACATTGAGCTAACGTGGACAAACACGTTCACTCAGGATTATAATTTATAATAATAAGAATATTGATTTATACTGGAGGAATCCGATGAGCTATAAAGCTTTTTTTCACAGATCTCCAGTCGAGGCAGGTCAGAACGTTACAACAATTCGGAGCGTCACAACACAATACCAACTACAATACCAAGAATAGCTTCACTGTGTCTCAAGACCCATTTTCAGAAATACCTTGCATGGGAAGGTTGTTCAGTACCATTCATGAGAGTTTTCCATATGGGAGGAAACTAAAGTAACCATAGATAACCATGGATACCAGGTAACACTGAGCACTGCCAAATTCTGGCCACCTTACACCTATATTTAATGCATCCACACTTTTACTTTGGCTTTTTTGTCATTCAACAGATTTTATGGCTTTTCTGAGCATCAGTTTATTATTTTGACTTAAAGCTTTCATGACTGCAGGAATTCATATTCTTTTTGGTCTTCCGGTAAAGCCACGTAGATAGAAAAATAATAAAAAATATCACGACGTTTCAATGCAACACAAGCAATCGTCATCAGGCGAAACACATATAGCGGGAGAGCTACTGAGGCAGGACAAAATCTCTTGACAGTCAGTGTACATGCCCAGTTGAATGACGTCGACCAAAGAACAAACACAAATCTATCCGATTGCATAGTCAGTGTAAAGCCAACACTTAAATGCAAATGTGTGACAAGGCTGTTATATATCGTGTACGGGTTTACTGCAAGCCGAATAGAGCAATTTGTACCCGCAGTTTGCACAACGTGTTCTTTTTGAGCCTTTTGAATGGATGAGATAGGTCTGCTTGACATTTTTTGGTCTCGCATCGGAGCGTTCGTATGTATACACGGTGTGCGGGAACCGTGTTATGTGAACGAGGCATCAGTTTAACAAAACGGCCCTGATAAAGAAAGCTCCACCGACCAACAACAACAACCTCTGCACTGATCGCATGCGTGAGCGGCGGGCACAGTGCCAGCATTTAGCGCGTGTGACGCGAAACAAAAATAAATAACGTACAGCCCTCTGTCAATCTAGTGCTCGAAGAAGTCCTTCAAATTTACGTGTCGGTCGTCGGGGTTTGTTTGACCGTACTTCACCATTGTTGGTCATTGCGGGATATGGTGATATGGAGTTTCCCGCATTGGTTCAAATATTAGTCGTCACTGTTAGCCGTGGCCGGGAATTGAACACAGGTAACTAACTGGGTTTATAGCACAGTGCGTTTACCACTGCCTCACCAAGGTATCATATATGCACTAAAATGTACAGACCTTTGTCAATAGCCCTTACGTATGGCATTAAAGGACAAAAAAGTAAACATTCAGTCACGCCACTGGTCGGAACGGAACGCTGTATCACGTGTTTGGAAAATTGCCCTGGCAATAATTATTTTTCATTCTCTAATGCATAATATACACAGAAATACGGAATAACAAACAGCAATCGTTTCACGTATGCACACAAGTAGGCTTCTAGGCTTCTCGCCAACTTAAGTCTTTTGGAGTTATAAATAGCGAGTTTTTCTGCGAAGAGTGACTGGGCTCTTTGCTTAATGCATACGTTGCAGATAGCATCAAATAGGTTTCTGTTGGCCATTCTAAATATCATGAAATATACCCATGATAACGATCAGCTGCTTACGTACAAGCCACATGAGTTATATTGTATGATAAAAAAAAGTTTAGAGAGAAAAAAGACAACTGCAAACCAACATAAATTTGAAGTGTGGTCTTTGTTTATTAATACAAGTGTAGTGTCGTGCGTCTCTTCTTGCTTCTCGCTCGAGGCTTGTGTGTGCGTGCGTCGAGCACACACTCAGTCGGAGACGAAGTAGTCGCAAGAGTCACCTTTTATTGTTGTTGAGTTCATGCCACCAACTCGGGCCTCCTCCCACGACCACGCTGCCGCACAACCCGTCCCAGACACGACCCTGTCCGCGTTGCACCGACGGTGTCGACCAGGACAGCCAACCGCTGTCCGGCCGCGCAATGATCGGGCAAGGGTGGCGACGACGCATGCGACGACGAGACGAGTCCAATCCCAGAACTGGCAGCCCGGAGCTCTCGCTCTCCGCTGCTTTTATTCCCCTCGGCGCGTCTTGGCTTCACCCTAGCCATGCCTCCCTTCTCGAACCCACCAGAGGATTCCAGGGGCTTCCCCACGAGGTCTACCGTGACCCTTGCCCCAGTTCCTCCGCCCTGCCGGTACACCAGCATATATGCTCAATGGTGTGTGCGCCAAGGGCCCACCTGAATTTGCAGCTGCTGTACAACAGTCACGCAATGTTACTACACATGTATGCAATATGATTTCCATTAAGCACTGTGATCACAATATAATAAAACTTTGACGTGTAAGAGTGATTATCAATATGCCTTTCTGAACTACTGGTTGTCCATCTCTCCAGATGTATATTGTACACGAGCAGGAAGTACCCGGCTTTGCCTGGGGAAAAATATATATTTAAAAACTTGTCTTATCTTAAAAACATAACATATACATACACAAATACTAATCAATTATAAGAGCCTTACAGAAGGCCTGAATCAAAATTATATAGAAAGTGGGGGGTAAATAGTTGATCTAAAAGGTTTCCAAAAATTATCGACCCCCCCACCCACCCAATTTTTATTTTGTAGGCATATATACCTACACCCTACATACAATAGTGATATCTAGTGACTCTATAGTAGTATCTACTGACTAGAGTAGTATGTATCGACTCTATAGTAGTATCTAGTGACTTTATAGTAGTATCTACCGACTAGAGGCCGACCGAAACTGAATTTCTGGTTTCGGCCGAAAACGAAACCAGACAGAAAGTAAAAAAATTGACTTTCGGCCAAAACTGAAAGTAAACCAAAAGTTAACTTTTTCTCCTTCGGCCAGAACACAAACTATGCCGAAAGAGGCCATTTGCCAACTTTCGGCGCCGAAACCGAATTTCGGTCGGCCTCTAATTAGCAGACCATGGTTGCGGCTGTAACCTCGCTCCCACGCTGCTGCTGCTGACGTGTGTGTGTGTGTGTTGGCAGCCTATCGCATAGGATTGCCTAGCGCCGATTGACCGGCCGATAGGCAGAGTGATAGACGTAGTACTAGCGTTATATTCTAAAAATAGATCTTTGGTTGACGAATGACGGCCGAAACCGAAAGTAAACCGAAAGTTAACTTTTTGGCTTCGGCCAAAACAGAAACTATGCCGAAAGAGGCCATTTTCCAACTTTCGGCGCCGAAACCGAATTTCGGTCAGCCTCTACTACGTCTCTGCCTTGTCCCCATGCACGCTGATCTTTAGTTTCCTCAGCCCGTGCTGCTGGGGTGCCTTTGATGTTTGTTTGCTGTTGAGAAAGCCGCTGCTCCTCCACTGTTTTGTGTTGGTTTTTGTCTTGGAGGGGCTTGATTTTCTTTCTTTTTGGCATTTTTAACGCGAAGGAGAACCTCCCTCCCGTTGCCGCTCAGCAAACTTGTTCGAGTTGCTAGGGGCAACCGCGAGTTAGCGTTCCACGCATGCGCAGATGCGTGCTTTGGCGCGCATTTCAAAGTTAGGGGCCGTCCATAAATGACGTCAGACATTTGTGACGATGTGTGACGAGGGGGGGGGGGGGGTTGAGAAATGTGACGTCACATAAAAATGTGCAACTTTTAATAAATATAGACAACACGTTCTACTTAATTAAATAGACTTTTAAATACATGTTTTCTCCTACAACATCAGAATGCAGCGCCACATTAACATGCACTACAATAACAATAGTTTTAATCGATTTGGAGCATGTTTTATTTTTTTTGCGGGGGGGGGGGGGAGCAGAGCTTTGTGACGTCATATTTGAGGGGAGGGTCTGACTTTTTGTGACGCCGTGTGATGAAGGGGGGGGAGGTCAAAAATCGTCCAAAATCGCGTGACGTCATTTATGGATGGCCCCTTATTACGATCAGCGTACATTGTTACAAAGTGTGATTTTCTTAGTTTAGACTGGACCAAGGGCAAAAACAAAAGCAAGCGTTCGTCCGGGGGCTGAGTGTGTTGTGTCTCTGTACTTTGTTGAAACGTAAACCCAACAGTTTGTCAGTTAAAAGCGTTATAAGGATATGCGTACACAGACAGCGAGACAGACAGACAGACAAAAATTTACGTTTATAGGTAAGAAGATGGGACTGTTGTTCTGTCTTTGTATGAAAGCTCAGGCGTCTTTTGTGAGAGCAAGCTCCCAAGAGCAAACTTATGAAATGTATTCAGGAATTATGAATCATACGTTTGACTCAAATGTAATTTTGAGTATAGTATGCTAAAATGATAATCATCGACCATAATCTATCCACTGCCTCTCCATGCCGTGGTCTATCATAGGGGTTGACCATACTCCACTACCCTGGTCAGTGCGGGTTTGTAGGGGTGGCAGGACCGGTTCAGATATCACCCGTCACTGAGGTTTATTATTTGTTGCTGCTTAATCTCATGGTGAAGCAGCAACAAATGTATAATCCCAATTGAGTAATTTGTGTATATTTTTTCACTTGGCAAAATTGGACCGTGACTGGCACACAATGGCGGCATGCACGTGTTTTTGTTGTTATTGGGGTAATGAGCCTGAAATATTAATCAGGGCGGCCGCTGGAGTTAGAACCGCGAACGCCACGATATAAGGCCATGTCAACCGTCAGATGTTAGTAGGTAGTTGCAGTGGCCCCGGGAATCGTACTGGTGTGGCTAGTTTTCATAGTGCAGTGCGTGCCAACAAATGAGTGACCGGTCGACGCGGGGTTAAAATCAATACTGTGCAGAAAATTCCATCACGTTCACAAAAAACATGCAGAATAAACAATGGAATTGTGTTTTCACCACCAGAAACAAACGTTACGGGCGTGTCCAAGTCCTCGGGAAATACAAGATCTAATACAACAAAAAGACACGTCTTTTTATATATATATCCACACACTTACTGTGCAAAACGACATATGCATGAGGTTTACTGAAAAGTAGTTCTGGAAGCAGCGGTCCTGGTTAACGTATATGTATGTCCATACTGTATTATGTCGCTGGCAAACCAATGCTCACTGTTCACATTGCATGCTGCGGTTTTAGTTTCCCAGTGAGACACCCTCGTGTCAGCCAGACTCGCAGCAGACATTCCTTTGTTTATCGTCTCTCCACAGGCAGTTGAACAAGGAAAGCTCTTTCACGGAACAAATGTAATGTTTAAATGCCCTATTGAGTTTTCCGTATATATGTTTAATCACGTCCCGTTATTAAAACAATGTTTCAATTAAACTCGTTCATGTTAATGAGTAGCTCGCACTAATTTGACAGCGCTGTGCCAAACTACTGCTGGATGACCTCCCCTGAGTTGTGAAAGCAATAGCATAAAATGTAGATTCACAAACCACTATTAAATATAGAAACTCTGCTCTTCTTCCTCACCTGCCCCAGAGTGACGGAGAGAATTTGGCCATACTTCACCACACTGGTCAATTAGGGTTGGTGAAAGAGAGGTGGCCACTGTTTGTAGCCGTGCCTGGGAATCGAACTCATCGAACACAGTTCACAAAGCAGTGCGCTGACCGTTGCACCACCGCTCACTCGTTCGCAGAAAGCCAGTGTAATGACGTGTATAATGCTGAGTTAAGACATTTATGTAACTTGTAAATTTATTTAAACCAGGAGTACATTCTGTACTCTATCGTCGGAAGTAGCTAGACCTGTCTGTGCACGGGTAATGTTACATTTCTGAGCATTTCCACGGAAAGGAAGTGATAACAAATACACGCTGTTGCCTACTTTTTTTTTAAGTACAGTCTACGCTGAAACTTGCGGGTTTCTTACATAATAGCAACGAACCAGATATGACCATAGAGACAAAACCACGCAAGTCCGTAGTTTAAATATTTTTTTAAAAGCACAAAACAAGCAAACGGTTATTGAAAATCTCATTTCTGCAATTGTAGTTTTTTTTTACCCAGTGTCAAAAACAATGATCATTTGGTACTTCCCCAGTAAAAAAGGAACAACAGTTTCCACTCGGGCCCAGACGGCACTCGATGTTAAATATCACGGAACGGGGTGAATGGTATATCGATTTACCAACCAACCCCCCAAAAATCCCCTCCAACGCACAACTTCAACAACAAACCCGCCCAGCGTGGTGCACCCTCGCACGCACGTGGCACGGCCAGCCCCGCCTCCACTCGTCACGAGCGCGCCAAATTCAACCCCGAATGACCGGCGCACAGCGATTGGCCGAATCTAACCCGAGGCGGACCTTCCAATTGGACGGCACTCTCGGCGTTGCTGCGCCAGGGATGGGCGTGCCGCTGATTGGAAGGCGACAACGGTGGGCGGGTGGGCGCGCGAACGGCCACGCCCAGTATCACCAAGCCTCCTGACAAGCACCGAGTTTGTGGACAGCATCCTCCCCCCAGCCTCTGGGCAGCACCTCCCAGCCTCTGGGCAGCACTCCCCAGCCTCTGGGCAGCACTCCCCAGCCTCTGGGCAACAACCCCCAGCCTCTGGGCAGCAATTCCCAGCCTCTGGGCAGCAATTCCCAGCCTCTGGGCAGCACCCCCCAGCCTCTGGGCAACAACCCCCAGCCTCTGGGCAACAACCCCCAGCCTCTGGGCAGCACCCCCCAGCCTCTGGGCAACAACCCCCAGCCTCTGGGCAGCAATTCCCAGCCTCTGGGCAACAACCCCCAGCCTCTGGGCAACAACCCCCAGCCTCTGGGCAACAACCCCCAGCCTCTGGGCAACAACCCCCAGCCTCTGGGCAGCACCCCCCAGCCTTTGGGCAGCACCCCCCAGCCTCTGGGCAACAACCCCCAGCCTCTGGGCAACAACCCCCAGCCTCTGGGCAGCACCCCCCAGCCTTTGGGCAGCACCCCCCAGCCTCTGGGCAGCACCCCCCAGCCTCTGGGCAACAACCCCCAGCCTCTGGGCAGCACCCCCAGTCTCTGGGCAACAACCCCCAGCCTCTGGGCAACAACCCCCAGCCTCTGGGCAGCACCCCCCAGCCTCTGGGCAGCACCCCCCAGCCTCTGGGCAACAACCCCCAGCCTCTGGGCAGCACCCCCCAGCCTTTGGGCAGCACCCCCCAGCCTCTGGGCAGCACCCCCCAGCCTCTGGGCAACAACCCCCAGCCTCTGGGCAGCACCTCCCAGCCTCTGGGCAGCACCCCCAGTCTCTGGGCAACAACCCCCAGCCTCTGGGCAACAACCCCCAGCCTCTGGGCAGCACCCCCCAGCCTCTGGGCAGCACCCCCCAGCCTCTGGGCAACAACCCCCAGCCTCTGGGCAACAACCCCCAGCCTCTGGGCAGCACCCCCCAGCCTCTGGGCAGCACCCCCCAGCCTCTGGGCAACAACCCCCAGCCTCTGGCAGCACCCCCCAGCCTTTGGGCAGCACCCCCCAGCCTCTGGGCAGCACCCCCCAGCCTCTGGGCAACAACCCCCAGCCTCTGGGCAGCACCTCCCAGCCTCTGGGCAGCACCCCCAGTCTCTGGGCAACAACCCCCAGCCTCTGGGCAACAACCCCCAGCCTCTGGGCAGCACCCCCCAGCCTCTGGGCAGCACCCCCCAGCCTCTGGGCAACAACCCCCAGCCTCTGGGCAGCACCCCCCAGCCTTTGGGCAGCAACCCCCAGCCTCTGGGCAACAACCCCCAGCCTCTGGGCAGCAATTCCCAGCCTCTGGGCAGCAACCCCCAGCCTCTGGGCAACACCCCCCAGCCTCTGGGCAACACCCCCCAGCCTTTGGGCAGCAACCCCCCAGCCTCTGGGCAGCAATTCCCAGCCTCTGGGCAACAACCCCCAGCCTCTGGGCAGCACCCCCCAGCCTCTGGGCAGCAATTCCCAGCCTCTGGGCAACAACCCCCAGCCTCTGGGCAGCACCTCCCAGCCTCTGGGCAGCAATTCCCAGCCTCTGGGCAACAACCCCCAGCCTCTGGGCAGCAATTCCCAGCCTCTGGGCAACAACCCCCAGCCTCTGGGCAGCACCCCCCAGCCTCTGGGCAACAACCCCCAGCCTCTGGGCAGCACCCCCCAGCCTCTGGGCAGCAACCCCCAGCCTCTGGGCAGCAACCCCCAGCCTCTGGGCAGCACCCCCCAGCCAGGGCCGGATTAAGATGTTGTAGGCCCCTGGGCTACAGGTACTGTGAGGCCCCCAGTAATATTTTGAAAAGGAAAACAAAGTTGAAGAAAAATAAAATTTATTTTTACAAGGCTAACAGCAAATAAAATTCAGCATTCACAAATGAAATAACTTTTCACTTAATCTCTGGAGGCCCTCCAGCTGACGGAGGCCCCTGGGCTGCAGCCCCTAAAGCCCATGCCTTCATCCGGCCCTGCCTCCAGCCTCTGGGCAGCACCCTCCAGCCTCTGGGCAGCACCCCCACAGCATCTGAACAGCACCCCACAGCCTCTCAGCAGCACCCCCCAGCCTCTGGGCAGCACCTCCCACCCTCTGGGCAGCACTCCCAGCTTCTGGGCAGCACCCCCAGTCTCTGGGCAGCACCCTCCAGCCTCAGAGCAGCACCCCCCAGCCTCAGGGCAGGACCCCCAGCTTCTGGGCAGCACCCTCCAGCCTCTGGGCAGCACTCCCCAGCCTCTGGGCAGCAACCCCCGGTCTCTGGGCAGCACCCCCCAGCCTCTGTGCAGCACTCCCCAGCATCTGAACAGCACCCCACAGCCTCTCAGCAGCACTCCCCAGCATCTGGGCAGCACCCCCCACCATCTGGGCAGCACCCCCAGCCTCTGGGCAGCACCCCCCAGCCTCTGTGCAGCACTCCCCAGCATCTGAACAGCACCCCACAGCCTCTCAGCAGCACTCCCCAGCATCTGGGCAGCACCCCCCACCATCTGGGCAGCACCCCCAGCCTCTGGGCAGCACCCCCCAGCCTCTGGGCAGCACTCCCCAGCATCTGGGCAGCACCCTCCAGCCTCTGGAAGCCCCCTCCCCCCAGCCTCTGAGCACCACTGAATAGCTTCCAGCAACAACCTTGTTTTGTGGACAGCTTCCAGCCTCCCTGCCACCACGCAATAGCTTCCAGCAGCACCCAATTTGATAGCTAGCACCTTGCACCACCCAAGCCTCTGGGCAATACATACCCAGCTTGTCTAGAGCACCCAGATTATTGACACCTTCAATAGCACCTAGCCTATTGCTGCTACTCAAAAGCACCTAGTAATACCCGGACTCAGTATTTGGGCAGCACCGAACTTGGTAAATAGCACGCAGCCTTTGGGCAATATCCAGCTTATGCACAGCACGCAGCCTCTTTCCATCACTCAATAGCTACTTGCAGTAACCAGTCTTTGCGCAGCACCCAGCTTGGTAGATAGCACCCAACATCAACCAGCCTCTGAGCATTATCCAGCTTGTGTAAGATCCCAACAGCACCCAGTCGGTAGAGTAGCCAGCCTACCGGGTATCTCCCATCCTTCTGGCAGAATCCATCATGCCTCTGGGCAGCACCCAAATCGTGGGTAGCACGAAACAACACCCAGCGCCTGCCAGCATCCTGCAGGACAGCACCCAGCAGAACTGAGCCTGCGGACATCACCGTGCCTGCCCAGCCTTGCCCTACCCATCCCATCCCTGCTCCCCCACGTCCGAATAAGGTCGATCATATAAACAAACGAGTTGACTCCCCCCCCCCGCACACGCGCGCAGTGGGGGATCCTTCTGAAAGCCCTTTGTTGGAAATTTCTAAGTACAATACATTGCGAGGTAACGAGTTAAAGTGTTCCAATTACAGTAAGTGTTAAACTGTTTCAGTTGCATAGAACCGTGAACATTGACATGTTGCAGCAAGTCTGTAAACAACCTCGTACTTGTTTTTGTCGTTCAGTTACTAAATACATCTTGTAAATGGTAAAGTGGACGGGCAGGGCTGTGTGCTTACCGATTCGTTCTGTAAATTGTTTGCGTGCGACAGTGTTTCCCTCAATAAAGCAATCACAGTCGTAGTGGTGATAGCATCAAGTGACTGAACACACACACGCATTGACGTCTCGTGAACTAACGCGTCGATCCAAAGTTTGTTTTTTAAGACTTTGCCCAAACAACGTCAATAGTTTGACGACTCTAAAATGACGTTGGCAAGTCAAATGACGAAACAACACAGCCGACGGCTTTGTTAAAAAAAAAAACCCAGAGGAACCTCGTTGGTGACATGACATTTACCAAATCTTTTATTAAAAGTACCACGTAGATATATGTATCCACACTTGTTTTTGTGGGGGGCAAGAATGACATAATTCCCTTCCTGCAAAAAGTTAGTCTCACTAAATGGACTGGACTGCCAGCTTATTAAGAGTGTAGGCGCATCCACGCTGCACACAGCAATTCTGTAAACCGCGCTACACGTCCTTAAATGTTTGTTAGTGTTATGACTGCTGTACTTAAGTGTGGACTTATGGGAGCTCGTTTTGTTTATTTAGAAGTGTAGAGGAAAGGACAGAGGGGTTGGGGTGGTGGGGTGGGTCGACGGGTCCGGGTTGGTGGAGGGGGGGGGGGGCAGCAAGCGAGTGGAGGAAGTCTGTGGCTGGCGTGCCCATACCTGCCCGGCTCCCGGGAAATTCCCACTGACAAGTTTCCTTTACCCTCCTATCTTTCTTTAACCCCGCGACACTTGATGACAGCCACGTCTAAGATCAGACCGTCACACCGATCGTTGTCATCGTCCTGCATGGCGAGCATTGTGATCATCTCCAGCTAGCGGGACGGACACAGAAGCTCGTTTCAAATATTGCAAGGTTACTGCAGAGTGCATATACTTTGCATGTACACACTTATTTGCTGTTATTTTGTTAATGCATTTTTTTGTACGGCGTTTGGGCGCAATGTTCTAAGTCGGAAGAAGAAGAAGAGACTTTGGATTGTATTGTACGATCCGCATAAAAACCATGCAGGTAATTACTACTGTAATCTATATTAACATATTGGGATAAAAATAAAACTTGTGGCCGGTTGCACAAAGCAATTTGAGTGTAAGATTGCACTTGTTCGCTCATTTCATTTAAGGCAAGTGCACGTTTAGTAGAAAACAACAAGGTGCAGCCGGTTACTTATTATCAGCATTCGGCTGCTATGCATTTCCACATGATAAGCCACTTCGTTGTGCTATCACTTGTGACCAGTTCGCTTCGAAAACAAACAAAAAAACCCCCAGCGACACAGCTCAATGGACCTTACCCTGGTAACTAAAAAAACTAAAAGGTTTAATTTTAACACGCAGCGATTTGTCACTGAACCGCCTTGACCGTCGTGGCCTGCCGCGCGCACGTGGACACGTGCGGTGGTGTTCGCACGTGGCCACGTGCGGTGGTGTTCGCACGTGGACGACGGCCACCAAAGCCACCGTCTGTGGCGGTGGCTTTGGAGGTCTTTCAAAGTCTTTTAAAGTCTGCTGCTGGGAGAGAGGATTCGGAGCTGGCAGTCGGGATCTGGTACTTGGGGACTGGGACTGATGGGGGGGCCTCCGGGGGTGTTGGTCTTGGGATTTGGGTCTGGGAAGGGCAGGGAAATTAGGACTGAATTCGTTTGCTCACGGGGGTCTTGGAGTTTAGGGTTTAGGCTGGAACTGAGGGTCTAGAGGGCTGTGGATCTGGGACCCTGGAGGGTTGAGGCAGAGGGGAGCGAGGGGCTGCAGGGTTTAGAGTTCGGCTGCTGCTGGAGAGGGGAGGGGGTGATGCTGGTGGTGTGTTGCGAGTGGAGGAGGCGGAGGGGTTGGGTTTGGCTACCGGCCAGGGCGTGCGTGCTCATGACACGCCGGGCGCTGGCGTGCAGCCCCGACTGAGCCCGCCCTCCGCCAGACTCTGTTCCCGACGCTTGCCGCCTAGGGCTCACAACAACAACAACAACGTGAAGTAGCAGCAGCAGCAGCCACAGCAGCAGCCACAGCTTGCCGTGGTCACACCGAAGCCCGGCATCACCGCTCGCGATCGGCGCCCGCTAGCCAAGCAGACCGGTGTCTCCACCTGACAATGCCCCACATCACAGAGCGATATTGCAAGGACGGCGACAATGGTTAATGGTAGCAGATGACAAAGAAGACAACTCGGTGTACGTTTAGAAGAAGGAGGAGAAGAAGACGTTGCTTTGTGTTTTTGTTTTGTTTCTAATTAACGCAATTCGCCTCCTGTCAAAACCCCACGAAACTTTGTCGCTGTGCGCAGGAGGAGCAGCAGGAGCAGGAGCAGCCCCCCCGGCTCGCCATGGCCATCCCACCCGGGGCGGCGAGCCCACGAACATCAGCAGCCGACAGGCAGCACCAGCAGCAGCAGCAGACACCGTCTCAACCCATTCCCATCCCCATCTCAATCCCCGCGTCCATCAACAACAACAACAGCAGCAGCAGCGACAACAACAGCGGAAACAACAACGGAGGTGGTGGAGTTGGTGGTGGCATCAGCGGGGCCCATCTGCCACCGCCGTCTCCCGGCGGGGCCACTTTGGCCGCTCGCTCGACACTTTTCCCGTTCCTCCGACCCGTGCTCAGTCCCCGCAGGGCCCCCTACTCGCAATGGACACCTCCGTCAAGCCCGGCACAGTGGCTCATCGGCTCCCCGCCGCCCAGCCCCGGCGGCAACTTGCTCTCATCCTCGCCCTATTCCTACTCCTCATCCTCCTCCTCCTTCTTCCCGTCGTCGTCCTCCTCCTACTCGTCCACTTCGTCGTCGTCGTCTTCGCCGCTGAGGTGCGCCGTGGAGGTGTTCTCCTTCGACAGGTCGTGTGATGGGGCGGCGGGGGCAGTGGCCGGCTTCGTCGGGGTCGGGGTGGCCGGGCCCGGCGGCAGCGGCAGGCAGCCCCCCGCGACCCCGCGGCTGTGATAAGTGCACGCAGACCGGGGGGGGGACGCAGCCCGTGGCAGCTGCAGCTGCAGCAGCAGGACGGAGGCCACCGCAGCACTCGGCTACAGCACCCGGTGAGTGAGTTGTGTTGTGTGTGTGGGGGTCACGGTGTGTGGGGTCATGGTGTGTTGTGTGAGTGTGGGGGTCACGGTGAGTGGGGGTCACGGTGTGTGGGGTCACGGTGTGTGGGGTCACGGGGTGTTGTGTGAGTGTATGTGGGGTCACGGTGTGTTGTGTGAGTGTGGGGGTCACGGTGAGTGGGGGTCACGG